GCCCACTTGCAGTGATGGTCAGCTTCCTGTCTCACTAGGCAGCACATTTCACAGTTGACTAGTTTCTCCCCAGAACGGGCCCCAAACCTGCATCCCAGTGTCTCCCACCTTTGACTCACTGACGTGGTTCGATTATGAAGTGTCCCCCACAGGCTCCTGGGTAAACACTGGATTTCCAGATGGTGGCACTATCTTAGATTTGGGGAACTAGGATTAACTTTGGGTGTGTGTGACCTTGCTGCAGGAAGTAGGATACTGGAAGCATGAATATGATGACCATACCTCCTCCTCCTCTCTGCCACTCTCTCTCTCTCCTGTCTCTCTCCCTCTCTCAACCCTTCCTGAATACAGGAAGGGAATACACTCCTCCTCCATGATTTTCTACCCAAGAACAAAAGGCTAAGCAATCATGGGCTAAAATCTCTGGGACCATAAGCTATTTCCTTCTCTAAATTACTCTCTGGTGTTCATGTTATAGCTATACAAAGGCAATGGACAGGATTCAGAGTCATGTTATAGCTATACAAAGGCAATGGACAGGATTCAGAGTCCACACATAACCTCAAAATATCTTCCAAGAACACCCTCTATATACTCAGAAAATAATCATCAATATTATATATAAGTTCTCACTTCTGTAAACTGGATCTCAAGATTATTCATCACACACCAATGTGATAGCTTTTAATCTGCAACATTTTTATAATAAAGCTTAAAATTTTTAGCCAGGTGGTGATGGCACACACCTTTAATCCCAGCACTTGGGAGGCAGAGGAAGGCAGATCTCTGTGAGTTCAAGGCCAGCCTGGGCTACAGAGTGAGTTCTAGAATAGGCTCCAAAGCTACACAGAGAAACCCTGTCTCAAAAAAAAAATTTTTTTTAAAGATTATTCAATGATCACTCATTACTGTAGTATCCAACATCCCATCCCCCCACCCAGATTCAATATCTTATATGATGCCACAAACAAAGCATACATAAAATATAGAAATGATTACTTTAATTATTCTAGCTAATGTAAATAAACACAGGGAAGATGGCATTGATGTTTCTCATGATTATATCTAACTTTGATTCATATCAAGGTTCTTAAACATATTCATTTCTGCTTGTAATATCTTCTGGAAACCACGACTCTAAGGATCTCTATCAAAATTTTAGGTTACCTCAGAATGCTAAAAATAGTTTGGGCTCTGATTCTATCATTCAATCTCTCCTAGACTGACAGTCATAAGTCAGACAAGTATATTACACATTTTTACTAAGTCACCAATAAAACACTGATAAAGATAGAATCACGTAGCCTATCATTAGAAAACTACCTTCAGAGCTTACAGAAAAATCAATCCACCGCTGAATAGCTATGAAAAAAAGCTTCAGGCCCTGGATGTGGGTCAGTTACTAGAGTGCTTGCCTGGCATCCCCCAAAGCCCTTGGTTTGAGCCCCAATTCTGCATCAGCTAGAGATGACACACACCTGGAACACCAGCACTGGGACGAAGAGGCAGAAGGACCTACAGCTCAAGGACATCCTCACCTACACAGAAGGCTGGAGGCAGCCTGAGCTCCATGAGACCCTGTCTCAAAAAGCAGAGGCGTGGGAGCTGGGCCTGCACCTACCATCTGCCCGCCTTCTGACCCATGTGCACCTGGGGCTGGCAAACACCTCTTGCTAAGATTCTTAGATACTGCAATTAAGGCTCTGCACAGCCCTGATACAGGAAATCTTACTGTACCACCACCACCACCACCCCCGAAAAAAAAGAAAGAAAATAAGGTTAGCTTGAGCCTGACTTGTTCCTGGTAAGCCCATGCTGTTACTAGAAATCTCAATGTGTGCTTGGAAACAAAGTGAATGAAACAGAGGACTTAGAAGAAATCCAATGCTGAAAGTCGCTGGGGCTCAAAGATCATGACTCGACCAGAACCAAGCTTTTCCATTAAACAAAGGCCCAAAGACCTTTCCCACTACTTGGACAAAACCTGGGGCATTAAATTAATTGTGAAACTATTTATCATAAGAAGTGCCCCACCCCCTTCCCCCTTTGTTCTTGTTTTCTGTTTCTTCTCCTCCAGGCTTAGCATAAAAAGGGGGGTGGTGGGGAACATCCCCTAAGTAAGATACCTCACTGTTAGCACAAATGCAGACCTGGTTCGCTAACATCGCATCCACCACAGCCCATGCTCCCTGTAATTCGTCTATACGAAAGTAAGACAAGCTTTTTAACTACTCCCCAAGTTCAAACACTTGTACATGTGTTTACCCTTCAAGGCAAAATAACACTTGGAATGCCTATTCTGGGGGCCAAGGACAGTTGCTGCACACAGACACGTAAAGGAGAAACCAGCGGAAAACAGGAGGCCAAGCCACCAAGAGAACAGATGAAACTAATTCCCAAAAGCAATCCGGCAAAGGTAATGGACTTTCTGGTAAACTCATAATAGAAAAGGAAACTGGGTTAAAGGTGGTAAAACGACTGATCCAAAAAGGGGGCGCTCTCTCCTTTCCGTCTGCCCCCCAGGAATGAGGGAAATTTACGGCAGAAATGAAGCAGCTGGGGGGGGGGGGTGAAGAATGGCAGAAGTGAAACAACCCAGGGAAAGGATGAAGCAAATAGTTCCACTAAGCAACAGTTTTCTACCTGCAGGACAGACCGATGGAGAATATGGACAGAGGACAAGAAGGTGAAGAGAAAGGAGAAAATATGAAAACCAAGTGTGTTGGGGGCATACAGCTACAGCAGAAACCTAGACACTATTCACTACCACCCTCGTCATGCATTAAGAATAGTCTTACTAGGAGTGTAACTCAGTAGGTAGAGTTCTTGCCTAGCATGCACAAAGTCCTGGGTTCACTATCCAATACCATATAAAAAGTGCAAGCCTCTAATCCCAGCACTAGGGAGGTAGATTCAAAAAGATCAGAAGTTCAAGATCATCCTGAGCTACATAGGGAGTTCAAGACCAGCCTAGGATATGAGTTTGTCCCAAGATGGTTAGATACACAGACAGACAGACAGTTCAAAACAAGGGTTGCCAAACTACAGGTCAATGCAGACTGACACCTTTTTTGTACGTACACAAGCTAATAAAAATTTTCTATATTAGTGTGTGTGTATGTGTACGTGTACGTGTACTTGTACGTGTGTGTATGTGTGTGTGTGCACACATGTGCATATTTTATGTGGGTGCCTATAGCGGCCAGAATTGGGTCTCCCCTAGAGCTGGAGTTCCAGGCAGTTGTGAACCACCAGACATGGGTGCTGGCTGGGAACCAAACTCTGATCCTCAGGAAGAGAAGCAATCGTTCCTAACCACTAAGCCATCTCTCCAGCCTCTAAGAAGGGTTTTTGTATTTTTATTTGTAAAGGGGTAACCATAACAACTCACATGCAGCCTGCAAAGCCTGAAGGACTTACCATCTAGCTTTCTGCAGAAAAGGTATGCCCACGCCTGGTTTACAAGACAAAAATGAGGCAAAACTGAAGGAGCAATAAAATAAAAATGGCAGCAAGTAGAGAGAGCTGAAGACCTGTTCATAACTGTGAAAAGAAAACGGTTTGCAAAAAGCGACAAGACACTGTGCTAATCTTGTCGGCAACCACTCGACTGAGAAGCGTCATTGTTTATGGTGGGCATGGGGATCGACCAGAACCGCCTGGAACAAATGTCTGGCAGAGACAAGTGCTCCTCGGTGGGATGGAACCACTGCATCTTCTTCCAAGAACTATGAACAAACCATTGCCGGTGATTTCTGCAGCATCGAAGGAATGAAATGATATTAGCATCTTAAGGAAAGGCCAGCTCAGTGAAGCAATGAGCAGGAGAGGAAATATTAAATCACAAAGGCTACAGACACAACCGGCTACAACAGCTACAGATGTTCCCAGATGCCAACAGTAGGGGGGAGCGGGGGCATGATGCCCAGAGACCAGGAGGTGAAGGCATGAAAAACCACTGTGAGGGAAAACTCCAAGCACATGTCGACCATTGACTGTATTTACTGTGTTGGGACGTGACAGTCACATCATTTCATCCTGACAAACGCCAAAAGGAAACCAAAAAACACTGCAAGACCCATGAAGAGTGTGTGAGATGACGTGCTCTCTATGCGTTTGTCACATGAAGTGAATTTTAGAGCATGGACACCGTCACATGGCCACATTAGTCAAGTCTTTCCACCAAACTGCCTCCCTTTTCTCTCTGATACACCAGGGGCACTCCTGCCTCGGGGCTCTCTCTCCTCCCACAACACTATTCTAGAGAAATCCCCCTGCTCAGTCCCTAACCTCTAAGTCTCTTCTTAAGTCATAAAATAATGGCTGAAAAGGAAATTACTGTTACAAAAAAGTAATTTGGGACTGAGGAGACGGCCCAATGGGTAAGAATACTTGCTACACAAGGATGAAAGCCTGCGTTTGGATATCCAGTACCCATGGGCTGGGCATATCCTTGAACAGCTGTGACCCTACCACTGGCAATAGGGGCATTACCAGGGCTTGCTGACCAGCCAACCTACCCCAAAACAGGGCAAACTCCAGAGTGGAAGACCCTGTCTGAAGAGAATAGAATGGAGAATTATAAAAATAAAAATAAAAATAAAAATAAAAATAAAAATAAAAAAACACCCTAATGTCGTATTCCAGCCTGCACACACGCTGGTGATCACACTCACTTTCACACACACACAAACACACACACACACACAAATACACATACACCACACACAAAAGGGTAGGAGGAAAGAGGGAGGGAGGGAAAAGAATATAGGTCACCCAGCACAGCGCATGCCCTATGGAGCCAAGGAGTGCACACAGCTGGCTAAGGGCAAGTCAGATTTCAAACAGTTTACTAACAAGGTCCTCAAGGCCCTCAATGAAAACCACGCTCAGCATGGTGTCCCCCCACTGAAGCTTTGCAAGAAGCTCAAGCAGGAAGCTCAGCAGTATTCGGAGACTCTGGCCAGCACAAGAATCCTCAAGTACAGCTCAGAGTCCAGTTGTGGCCAGTGTGGGGAGAACCTCACATAGGCATCCTACTATTAGACAGGAAAGGAAGTGGCTGACAGATGATACAGTGAAATCAAGAACTACAACATCCAGCAGCCTGGCTTCACCCCGGGACGGGACACTTCACAGCCATGGTATGGAAGAATACAAGGAAGACGGGCGTGGGGAAGGCGTCTGCAAGTGATGGGTCCTCCTTTGTGGTGGCCAGGTACTTCCCAGCAGGGAATTTGGTCAACCAGGGCTTTTTCGAAGAAAATGTGCCACCTCCAAAGAAGTAACTCTCCAAATGTAACAAGAAGGCAGAGACACACATACAAAGTGCCTATAGAACAACAAAGAGCCAGCCGAGCGTCTGTCCCTGTGGGTGTGTGTACTCTGGAGCATCTCCTGTGCACACACTCTAGGCAGCTGCGCATGAGCTCATTTCCAGTTAAAGGACGGGCATCTGAAGCATTTGTCCAGAGGGTTACCTAGACCACCATTACTTAGATTTGAGTATGATCAATTATGACATCTTTTGGCTTTTAGTTTTTAAGCAGACATTTTTTGTATTTTTCTTACTTCAAATATCCATCCTCGGACTTTGTGTATTCTGAATATTTGCCATGCTGAGCAGTGAGCTCATGTTACATGATCATCCTGCACTGTAATCTCCTTTGGGTAGACTCTGAAGAGTATTAAACCTCCCTTTAAAATGTGAAAAAAAGGAAGAGAAAGAAAGAAAAAAGAGAGAAAGACACACACACACACACACACACACACACACACACACACACACATAAAATAAAAGGCAAAGTTACAACAAAAAAGATCAATAAAATCAAAAGTCAGTTCTCTGAAAAGACTCAAGTCAGGAAAACAAGGAAGATGAAAAAAGAAAAGGAAACAGCTGAAGGCTGGAGAGAAGACTCAGCCTTTAAGAAAGCTGTTCTTCCTTAGGGCCAGAGTTTGGTTCCCAGCACCCACATCATGCAGCTCATAACCACTGGAACTCCAGCTCAAGGAATCAACATCCTTCTTGTGCCCCCTGCAGACATACACACAGACACACATGTATACATAAACCCCCTTTTCAATCAACCAAAAAGAGTCTGGAACAGGGGTTGGGGAAACAGTTCACTTACTAAGAGCGCTTGAGGGTTTGGTTCTTATCACTTGCACTGGGGCTCACAACTACCCTTCACTCCAGTTCCATGGGACCCAACACCCTCTTCTGGCCTTCACAGGCACCTGACCAGATGGTGCATAGGTATACATGTAGGCAGAACACTAAGGCACATACAAAAATTAAAAAGAATAATAATAATTTTTAAAAAGGATCTGAAGAGAAAGCACAATGGTTAAGAGCATCTGCTGCAGAAAACCAGAGCTGGTTCCCAGCACCTACACAGTGGCTCCCAGCCACCTGAAACTCCGGCTTCAGGGGGTCCAAAACCCTCGCCTGGCCTCTGCAAGCACCTGCACATACAGACACACAAACACATACACACAAATGAAAAAAAAACCTTAAAAAGTAATCAAAAGAAGAGACAGTGGGGCCAGAAAGTGACTGAATAGGTAAAGGTGTGTGATGACAAGTCTGAGGACCCGAGTTCAATCCCCAGGCCCCACAGAGTGAAAAGAACCAACTCCTGAAAGTTGTCCCCTGACCTCCACATATACACAATGTGGGGTGTGTGTGCGCGCACGCTCAAAATAAAATCAGTAAAAATGTTTAAAAACAAACCCAAAAGATCCATCATTAATAAAGAAAAACATAACAACTTGAGAAGTCAGTGAGGACCACACTTACATGATAATGATTAGAAACAACTTTACGGTTCTAAGTTTGAGGAATAAAGTGAAATTAGTAACTTTTTAAAAACATATCAAGTTTGATCCCCCACCCCCAAAAGAGAGAAGTTGATAACACTATAACCAAAAAA